TGCTAATATTGATACAGCAGGTTATTATTTACCTAGCTGTGTATATATATATATATATATGTATATATATTCACGTATACAAATCAAACATTTGGAAAAATATTCCGTCCAAGGAATGAATGCAAAATTTCTTAATGTACCACAATTTGTATTTTGTTGGTTCACTTTAGAACAAAGCTACATCGAATTATCTGGTGTGTTCACCACGGAGAATCGAACCCCGGATCTTAGCGTTGTTAATCCGTTGACTTACCGCTGTCTTACCTGAGGACTACAATTTGTAATTATTACGAAGCATTAAAAGTATTGTTTGCAGTTATGCACAAAGCTACACAATGGGCTATCTGTGCTCTGGGGGGCGCATTAAAAGTAACAGTCCCTGTTATCAGTATTCTTGTTTTATTTATTTTTGTATTGCGTATAAATATATAAGCATAATGAAAAACTTAGAAAACTTAGGGATCAAAATATACGTAACCTACCTAGCTATAGTAATATAGAGAGTTTTAATGCTACAAAAGTATTCCAACAAGAAAGTCAAAACTACAAAAACTGAGTTACTTAAAATTAATATATATATATATATTCCTACTTTGGCAAATCACTGTAATTATGTTAGTCTGAGCCAAAGTAGGGATAATTTTTTTTTTAAATTTTAAGTAACTCATGATACGATGAAATATATTTATGATGAAAATAAAATAAACAATAAATGAACGACGATAAATGTCAATCTTAAAGGAAATATTAAAATGTAAATTAATTATACATATATTTTTTACAAAATGTAAAACAATCCAGAATTTATATAGGTTATACTATGCATACATCGTAGAGACGCGGGTGTTGTGGATTTTCACAATATTTCATTAGAGCCTAAGTTGTGCTAACAGTTATAAATCAAAAGCAGTAATTAATAAAACATCATGAAAAATGTACTAATTGTAAATCATTCGCAAAATATAAGAATTAAGCCGACCAATTCCTACACTTATTTAGATTTTAGAAGTAACCACCCTAGACACTCCATAACAAATGTCACATATAAGTTAGCAAAGAAAATTGTACAGATTGTTAACAATAAAGAAAAAAAAAGAAATATTAGATCAAGTAAATTAAAAATGTTTTTATTAAATAGAAACTATCCAGAGGGCCAAATTGACAACTGTATATTTCGCGCCAAATTATATGATCCAAAATCTAATGGTTAACCAACAAGTTGCCAGTCATTAGTACGTATACTCCCGGTTTAAAAGTTGATATTAAAAAGTGTAAGACTTTGATTATCTCCTGTATATCTAGCACCAAAAGAAGAGACATAAGTATTATTAACGTTATTGTAACTTATAGACAAACTAAAAACTTAAATGGTTTACTTTGTTATAAACATAATACTGAAAATAGACAAGAGGATATTCCTCAGTGTAACTTAAGATGTCAACTCTGTAGTCTAAGTTATATTACCAATACTGATATAATTAGAAATATAGATGAAACTATTATGTTTAAAATCAAAATATCTTTCTCTTTTTAAAACTGTATCTATATGTTAAAAGGTACAATATTTGCTGAATGTTAAGTTGGCTAAACAGAGAATATAAATTTTAGAATGAATCAACTGATGCTCCATGTTAAAACGCCATGTCAGAGCTCATTATGATGTTCAGAACATTTTATCAACTGTATCGTCAGTGTATTGTCATGGTTTATTACAAGAACCTTCCTCTTTTGTTTTCCCATTTTGGTTTTGTGATAATCAACAAAAAAGATTATTTTATGAAAGTTATTATGTAAAACAATTCGGAAGTAATTATAGTGTTTTGGCACTTGTGTATAAAGTTAATATCATAAATAATATTC